GCGCGCATTTTTGTATAAATTAGCGGCTCTTTTAAATTTTGCTAGTTGTGCTTAATCTCCCCGATGTTCGCATTTCCATGTTTTCAAAAATACATTGCAGAGCAATGTTTCAAAAAATTATATCAAATCAAAATCAAATTTGTCAGTCAGCTAAATTGATTTCCGTATGAATATTGGCCAAATATTAAGTAAACCCATACAATGAGTTAAAACTCTCGTATGGATTATTGAAAAAAATATCGTTTATCGAGCTTTTCCTCCTTCCGATTGAGTCAGTTTTCCCCGTTGATCCTTCTTACTCATCAATGTAACGAGTACTTATGGAGATACTTTGTGGTTTGTAATATTTACCGTTCAATTCCATGAGTATGCTGCTTCCCTTTGACTTCTTCAAAGCATTAGTTTGCCGTTCGCTGATTTATTCCAATGATTAGATTGAATTTGTAGTCAAATTTTGAATTCAATTTCGTAGCGTGACGCGAATTTATGCTTGTGCAGTGAACTTTGACGATCGTTGCCCGGTTATTCCCGTTAAACTCTCCAAATCACATGTGAAATCGAAATGCACAATGTTTTTTTCGTGTCAGGATGTCGTGCGCAGTAGGGTGATTTTTTAAATGTCGGTCTTTGAACTTCGAATAAATGCTTGATCAAAGTGATTCTTATCCATTAGCCTTTTATAGCATCCAATGTAATGAGGATCACCTAAATATGAGTGTAAAATCCTCATTTAGAACATCTTAATGGTGACATCCACCCTGGTAGGAATGTGTCTGATATATTGCATCAACATTATCAAACAGACACTTTGCGATACGTTAATGTATTGTTTGCCACTGCAAAACCCGAGTTCTCGAGAAAGCTCACTGATGCTTTGATTCCTCAACTAATGAGAGCCTTCTCGGAATTCGGTACATTGGTACCCCATTTGAATATGGTTATGATCTTCCGGTTTCCCAGTACATCCCCTTTACCACTGTCATCATCCTCGAGGTTCATAATGCTTGCCGCAACTATGGGACCCGTTTGCGTACCATAAGTAGTTTGGATGCAGATTTTACAAACGGTGGGTTATCACACCGATGAACCGCTTTGAGTTTTCGCATTCAAATAAAAGTTCCTTACTGATAGAAGTCATTTATAGACAAAGCAGTTAACTTTTGTAATGACTTGATTTGTTCCACCTAAAACCCACCTTTATAGTTCGGATAATGTTCACTGTTGAATTAAAACGATAGAGTTTTACATATATGATTGAAGTCTGATTTCTCGGGACTTTTCGCTTTTCCCAATTGATTGCTTGGTTTTTTTATTCTCGCCTTTCTTTGAAGATTTAGTCATTTTCAAGTGTTTAGGCTTTTGTACCTTACAGATTACGATAGAAAGATGTATCGGAGTTGTTAATACATGAAAGAGAGTCAGAAAAGTTTGATGACATCTACCTTTGAAAAAAACGTACTCAGTGTTTTTTATTGAATCAAAATATTGTAGATAGCAAACATACAATTAATTTAATTAGCATTCATAAGCATCCACAATTTAAAATGATAGTCTTAAGAAATATCCCAAAAATTATACTTATCAGAATGACAGCTATTTACCTAATAAAGTTCCGTCTGTAAGTGAAATTTGCTAACCGCTATGAGACGTCACATTCAACCAGAATGGGAAGATTTAATTACCTCTTATCATTTCTGCAATGGAATTCTGTTTTGCTGTCCCGCTCATTTACACAGAAACAAGCAAAATGCTATAAAGTGCTATATCGTGTAGGTAGAAAATGAAAAACGGTCTGATCAGCTGCCCGCTGGCCGAATGGGTAGGATGCCTGTGTTCTAACTGTGAGGTCCCGGGTTCAATCCCCAGTTGGGACGATGGGTTTGCACTGCTGATGAGACCTAACCAGGTCGAAACAGCTGTCTAGTACTTCCTAGCTTTTCAGTTCACGCTTCATTTGCTATATACACGACGGATTCACCTTGTTAAATGCTTTGGGGCAACAGCGTTTGAAAATAAAACCTCGTAATTAAAATCACTGGATCATCCTGTCATTGGAATATTTTTCCAAGAGTAGCAACACACACTTCATCCTCTATTGCTATCAAGCTAACGACTTATTATGGATATGTATCGTACCCTCAGTTTGCCAAAGTGATACTAGAATACGCCCAAAGATGAGGAACTGTTCAAATGAAGTTTTTCGAAACACATTCAGTAGGAAAGTCTTCTGGGAATAAATGGTAACTACCGCTTTCAGACAGTATCATCAGTTGTATTTGGCGACAACCAAAGGTAGTTTTGCTCAGATTGCAACTCAAGGTTAGCGGATTAGCTCAAAATAGACGTCACTGTTTCTCCAGACCATCTCATCAATGTAATTACAGACGCAGGTGCTTATTCACGCTGTCCATCATGCAAATTAAAAATCATCGATTCATTTATTGTCATTGGAACATCATACAAAGGATCACAGTGTCCTCAGGCACAATTAATTACTCACCTTTCCACCACTCTTTTGTTCGTCCCTTTCTTATCCACTTGTTCATTGTTCGCTCGCTCGCCAAATGGTCGGTGTCCCAAATGCCTGGTGAACAAACGTGTGCAAAGAGTTATTTTGCGGACATTTCCGTCATGTCGTTGACATTCTATATGTCCAATGCCTGAGCAACCGACCGATTATCGGGTGGCAGTATTTGGAGCTGGAGGAGTCGGGAAAACTTCGCTTGTACTGCGATTTGTTCGAGGAACTTTTCGTGAAACTTATGTTCCAACCATTGAGGATACATACAGACAAGTTAGTTATTGATCGGTTTAAATTATTTATTTCACAGTCACGCATGATTTAACAGAATGACAATTCAGTACAATTTGGCCAGCCCAACGACGCAGTTCGTGTGAAATCAAAGACTGATGAGTTGAATGCTAAAAACCTGAAGAAACGTTCTGCGTGCTCAGATAGTTCAAGTTAGTTAGGAGATATGGATACATCCTAGTTACGCATGAACTGTGAGCAAACACAGTTGGACCGGTTTTCTTATCGTCCAATGTTTGAATCGACCAATAAAACTAACTTCAATGGTAATCATTGCCAATCCAAAGACAGTGTCTAATTTGTCCTTTTATGGCAGTAAAATGAACCTGAATAACGAGACAAACAGAGAGGTTATCGTAATCGATAACCTTGTAAATTGTTTGTATTCTACCACAGGTTGTCAGAAAATCGATCGTGTAAAGAAAAATGAACGCCTCTAGTCAAATTGAGAGAGGGTGTGTTTTACCGTGAAGTGGATATACCAGACGATAATAAACATCGTTAGTTTTCGAATTCTTGATCATGACTTTGACAACATAATCTCGGTTTTGTTCTAAGGATTTTCGAAATCACATACGTCAGTTAAAAGACTAATAAAAGTCCACCGTTGTTGAGTTAAATCTGTTTCATTCACACATGGATGAAATGCATTGTCACTGGGACCAGTTTGAATAAAAAGCGACCAACTGAAACACAATTGCTTAACTCGAAGGGAGGAAAACAAAAATTGTCTTATTTCTTTTCCATTCAGAAAGCATCAGAACTAACTGATTTCGATGGTTTCTTCCAAATGCAGCTTCTTGTTCGTGATTGAACGCTCGGTCGGTAATGGCTGGTTCAAAATGAATTTGTGTTCACAGTATGATGGAACTTAAGTGTATAACCAATTGTTTTCTCTTGCAGTGATGGTGATGCTCTAGGTATTTAGTTATCGAGAAAAAAAATCAGTCCCTCATCTTATAGAGAAATACTCCACGTGTGTAGATCACTTTGAAAAATCGAAAAACTGCGAAACTGATTGTTTCACAACGTTTAAACTNNNGCTAATAAAACAAATTATAAACGTATGTGGCCCCTTGCTTACTTTGTGGGATCATTTAAAAATAACTTCACAACCGACATTGACATCGACCATCAGCACCATAAACCGGAACTATTATCATTAGAATTTAGACTCATGCGGTGCATATTGCTACTGTCATTTTGATCTGAATGTGGAGCGCAATTATTCATCGTCAGTTTATTATATTTTTTGTCACCCCAAATTCGATCCTCAATTTTACG